GAAGCCTGGAGCTATGTATTTTGAAATTCAAAATCTTACACTTCCAGTCCAGTCTAGTCCAGACTGCAAATAAATGTGGACCAGTGAATTCAAGCACAGAGCTTCCTGAAAGGAGCTTGCATCAAGCTGCTTTCTTATTATAGAATTCTGATGTTGACTCATCAAGAAGGTTACTCTGGTGTTGATTGCTAAAATATTTATTTGTTTAACTAGGTGTTCTTCATTCAGTAGCACCTCAGTCAATTAGCAGAAAGTGTGGGGAGTTAAAAATAGTCTTCTTATTTGTTTGTACTGCTGAAACATATTCTAGTGGAAATTTCTAATCAAATACTACAGAATCATCCCAAAAACATGAAAAAGTTTCTCATAAAAAAGAAAGTAGGTGTTCCCTACCCTCCTTGATTCTTTTATAATGAGAAGATAATAAGATGAATAAAAATATCATAGCACAATTTACCATGGCTAAAATGTTAAATAAAATTAGCTAACCATCTCTAGAGAGGTAGCATTTGGAAGGTATCTAGATCTTGTCTGGGAATATGGTGTCACCCTTAAGAACCTTGACTTTTAGTTTCAAAACATGTGACTACATACATAGCAACCTCAACAAAAGTACATTTGGTAAAGGCACGCGAACTTGGGACTTGAATGCATGGCTTCCAATTCTAAGTCTGATTCTTTTCCGATACATTATCCCTTGTATGTTTCTTACAATCATATGCTAATAAAGGCTATATTTTCAGGCCTTAATAAGAATCTGCTTTTCCTTTAATATGAGAATGGCGCAGAGTATTACATCAGGTAAGCATTCTACTCAAGGCCAAATGGAAATGAATGATGTACACAGATTGTTGGTAAATAGATCATTCTAAAAGTGCAGATCACCAAAGTTTGAGTGTGCGTTATGGACCAAGCTCTTTATATGAAGTTACTTCAAATTTTTGCAACTGTTAAAGGAAGGTACTATTACCCCCATTTACAGAGGGAGAACTGAAGGCCAGAATAGACTTGCCCAAAGCTACTTATCCAGTTATTAGCGGAAACAGAGCTACAAAATAAGCCATTGTGCTCTCTGGTCAATGTTGCCATTCATGTTCTTTATTTTGTTTTAAACTTTATTTTAGAATTAAAAATATTCCACTTGGATTGGCACATTTCATTTCATTGATTTATATTTATTGAATTGCTTTGTATATGACATATTCTTAATTCTTATACTGAGCACCCTTTATAGAAGATGGACTATAATTGCACCTAGCTTATGGTTAGAATTAAGTTACAAAGCTGTTAAGTAACTGAGATTTCACAATAAGCCTGCAGAGCAGGGTTCAAATCCTGGGCCCCATGCCATGCAGTTCAGTATTCCAGCTTTGTTACTTATTGAACCATCACCATTAGTTTACATGACATCCCAACAGCTCTCTAAACGGACACCGCAAACATAATTCAGATTTCAGCTCACCAGTGACTTGGGAGCAGAGACGCTTAGATTCAGTTCGTCATGGCATTTTCCCAGGCTGCACCCAACCTGGAAATTCTCCCAAGTATGAGGGGAAATTTCACACTGAGAAATCCCATTCCATCTAAGGCACGCCAAAGAAGAGAAGATGACCAGTCACTTACCAGGCCTCATGCCAGGCAGGCCTGGGGCACCCCAGGGATGCAGGCGTGGCTCACTGACTGAATGTGCTGAACAGACCAGGCACGGGGCAGAGTACATTATCATAGGAGCTCAAAATTAATAGCGTTCTGAAACTATAAATGAAACAGAGTAGCTTGTGGTTATAATTGAAATAGATTAACTTGGTACCAGGAAACCATCTAAGCAATTCCTTCCTTGAATCCCTCATTTTCTTAATGTATTTTCTCCTTTCCCCGGACCAGTTCCAGGTCAGGATTTGAGGAGTGATACTCAAAGGAATGGCTATTTCTGGTCTTTTTGGGAGGAAATTGATGGTTTTCCATTCAATCTGAACATGTAAAGTCTAAGCTCACTTGAGGATCTTCCAATTTCTTTCTCTAATATTACGTTTCAGCCTACTCATATGGGAAGGAAGAAAGAGAATTTTTTTTTTCCTTCTCCCTCCTATTTCCTTGGCTTGTTTAAAGGATGAATATTGCAGGCTCCTGTGAGAGAAATTTGGCTAAAACAGCCTCTTATTTATTCTGTCTTAAGAAAAGAAAATTATTGAAATAAATTGCATTTGTATTCTTTGGACATTTACATTCACTAGGGATATTTGCTAAAGTGTCAATTATAGTTCCTTGTCTTCTATCATTTCCTATCTTTCCCTTCACTTTTCTTGTCTCTTTATGCTGCCAGTATCTTCCTGCTTTTTCCTACAGATGTCTACTTCTTCTGACAATTATTCCTTTTCCCATTTTCTTTCTTTTTCTATGCTGTACACCTTTCTTATTTTCTTATATGCACCTGTTTCTTTGTCACTTAATGTTTGTTTACCTTTCCTTCATCCATTCTCTCCATTTTTCTTCCTTCATTCCACAAATCTTTGTTAAACTCTTGCACTGGGCTAGGATTCTACACCCTCCAAATCTATAATCCCCTAAATGTAACAGTATTATTAGCGTACCATCAAAATAACTACTGATATTTCTAAATTTTAAAAAAAATAGAAATTTTAACTGATTTAACTGATAGTGTATTGAATTCAAATTTGAAAAAAAAAAACTCCAATAATTCCAGCAACCTCTGGTTTTTTAAGATTGTGTCAGAGGGCTTCCCTGGTGGCACAGTGGTTGAGAATCTGCCTGCCAGTGCCGGGGACACGGGTTCAAGCCCTGGTCCGGGAAGATCCCACGTACCGAGGAGCAATTAAGCCCGTGTGCCACAACTACTGAGCCTGTGCTCTAGATCCCGTGAGCCACTACTACTGAGCCCACGAGCCACAACTACTGAAGCCTGCACACCTAGAGCCCGTGCTCCACAACAAGAGAAGCCACTGCAGTGAGAAGCCCACACACCCCAACAAGCAGTATCCCCCACTCGCTGCAACTAGAGAGAGCCCACACACAGCAACGAAGACCCAACGCAGCCAAAAAAAAAAAAAAAAAGATTGTGTTAGAAAATGTGCCTCCTTTACAAAAGCCTGCTCAATCTATTCATATAAGATAAATTATTCTTTCTTTTCCTCTAAAAGATTTAATTTTTTAAAAAGGGAATGGGATATGGGGAAGGAAAATATGGTGCAGCAGAGAAGAAATACACATGTGAGCCATTTTACTAATTGCTCTAAATTGAGTAAAGAGGTTGTGTTGCATAGAACTGCTCACTAAAGGCTTAAAGGCTGAGGTGCTCCTGGACATGCTCCCTTAGCAAGACTGAGATTTAAGACCTCGGGTGTGGAATTTAGCTGTAGTCCTTGTTATTTGGATGGAATCCTGGTTATGTGGCCTGGTCCATGAGTTGAACAAAAAAATTCAGTCCAGTGGAAAGAAATGTAGCACTTCGTTTCACGTGTCTCATAACTACAGAAGGTCCTCCTCATCACAGTGCTCTATGGGTCTCAATGACCTCTCTGTGTTGTATTTCTCCAGTGCCTGAGTAGCTAGCTCCACTGGGTCCTGCTGTATCTCCTCCAACATGTCAGCATTTTTTAAGTCACATTTTTTATCCTTTTTGGTCCCCTTAGCTCAGGAGTATTGACAGCAACCATTCCTTGGGGGCAGTGGCTGGCATGGTTCTAAGCCTACAGGAGCTGCCAACTAGCTTTTAATACGAATGATCATGTACTAATTTACCAGCTTTGTGAGTTTACAGTTTTGTGTATGAAGTTCTATTTGACTTTCATATGGTGGATAACAAAAACAAATGGACAATATAAGTAACCATTTTGACAATTTAAATACAGGTAATGTTCATGTCAGTTCAAGGAGAGCGGATGTACTGCTTCTAGATTGTGAAAGCAAAAGGAGGAATAGAGTGGAAGAGTATTTTTAATAGAGGAAGAGAGAAGAAGGTGGTAACAAAAGAAAAGAGAAGATGTATGGGGTTGAGAAAAGAAAAGGCAAAGAACTTGTTTTGAATTAAAGAGAGAATCCTATCCATCTAACTCGTCACATTCTCAAGTCTCAGGGCAAACCTCACCTATTCCAGAAAGCATTATAGCATTTTCTACTTACTCTACAATACTTCTATATTCTGAACAATTAATTTGCCAATTAATTGCATATTGTTTTATTATCTTAAAATGGTTAATTAATTCTTTAGGATGTTTTTTAGCTTTCTCCAGGATTATGGCTTATCTTCCAAGTTAGACTTACAATGACTGCAATTTGAGGACTGTTTCTTATAAATTCTAATCTTTCACAATGTCTAGCATGGTTGTTGCCACAGAGTTCATTAACTGGAGAAGGGATGACAGGACACATGTGGCAGGGAGGTGACAGGAGAGACAGAGCGGATGGGGAGAGGACATAAGAATGAGGTGGGAGGATGGATGAGGGAGAAGGCTGTGTTGTTTGGGTGGGTAGGTGAGAGAAGTGTGGAAAAGAGATGCCTTGTACCCCTGGTCACTGAATATGCTTAGATACTGCAGGGAGCTGTAAATGGTATTCTTTTAGTTTCTCTTATTAGGAGGTTTATTCATCTTTGGGGATTTCCTTTTAAAGGAGTGAATTTAAATTGAAAGGAAGTGTACTTTAGCACATTAATAGCACTTGGGTTTGTAAAATGGTCAATGGATGATATACACACATCTTTACATATCATAAATATGCATATGCTTTACTTTCTGATATTTTCCAATTCTTATTTAATTATCCTAAATAACATTTGAAAAATTAAAGAAAGTTTTCTTTATAAAATTTCAACAATGTTTTGAGCAATTGAAATGCATTTAAAATAACTGAGATGCGGTGTTCACAATTTCTGCTGTGGTTAAAGCAGAAGTCTGATATACGATTGCATTTGAAGGAAAATGTACCTTTCAAATTCAGATCCAACATACTGACAATTCCTCTCTGTCTATTTTTGGTAATAGGACATCTCCAAATTTGCAGAGAAAGACAACATAGTTCTTGGAGATGGTGGAATCACATTGAGTGGAGGTCAGCAAGCAAGAATTTCTTTAGCAAGGTGAATATCTGATTATTGGTCCAGTGAGCATTTGTTGTAAATATCATGCATGTAAAAAATTATAGATGATTCTCTATTTCTTCATATTCTGTTTCTGGAATTGAAAAATGCCCAGGATCTTATAGGTAGCAGGTTAAGAATGACCTTTAAGAATTATAGTTAATGATACAGTGTTCATGTCTGATAAAGCTGATGGCTTTTTAAAAATGCATACCCTTATGTTGGTGTGTGTGTTTGTTTGCCTGATGCCCTGGCACTCTGCCTAGCCCAGGAAAGAGAAGATGTAAATTTTTATTTAGTCCTTCATACAGTTCCTTGCTCACCCCATCCCAAAATGTACACACCTGCTCTAGGCTTCTGTTTATGCTACTTGGTTTAGATAAACATAAATTTTCAAAGTTTTCAACATAACTAATTAATCTCATGACAGAGATAGCAGGGCAAATGATGTCACTTAGCTTAAAGTCTGTAATCTTTAAAGAAAAATAAATAGGACAAGCACATCTAATATAGTGGGGGCTATGGTGATCCCTTGGTGGAGACATTCTTGGCCTAAGCATTTTGAAGTGTCAAAGGGAAGTATATATATATATATATATATATATGTATAGTTAATTTGTGTCAAGAAGAAACCTTTGCTGTTAAATTGTAACTCTCAGTTTAAAAAATTATTGGTGATGTGGTGTGGCAAATGTTACTCCAGTTTTATTTGAACAAGATTCTTCTTACTGTGTTGCTGAAGTTGTTAGCAAGAAATCACCTTGACTTATTGATATTTTGGCTTCTTTCCCTTACTTTCTTGCGCTTTCAAAAGCTGGGACAGGAAACTAACTCACTGAGCACCTACAGTTGCCTAGTACTATTCTGGGTTGGGTGTGCATGAGTACGTGTGTAATTTTACTTAATCCCCATATCACTCTGCCAAAAAAGTATTGTTCTCCCCAACTTATAGAAGAGATAATGAGATAAATGAGGAGGTTAGATCTTAACTTGCCAAAATCCACACTGGGAAATTCTAGGGTTACAATTTGAACCAGGTCGTCTTGACTCTACATTAAACCACACCTTGATCTTGGGATTACAATGTCAAGTAATAAATCAATAGATATGGATAATTCACAGACAAAATAATATTTTCTAAATAACTGAAAGTTGATTAATCTGTGAGCCAAAGTAAGACTTGTCTTAAACATTTCATTTCAAATTTAGGTAGGATATGCTGTATGACTTCAGGCATTCAGAATAGAATTGAGTTTGTATTTACCAGTTGAAGATGCAGTTTTATTATAAAATACACACAGTTTGAGGCATTAAAGAAAATAATTGTTTATTGCTATTCTGATCTGAATGTGTCATGTGTTGTCCATTTGGGGATGATGAATATGTTATTTCTGATCTCTTGAGAAACTGTGGTCATAGATGTGTAGATAGAGAGAAGAGCTGAGTAAGGGAAGAAAGCCCTCGAGGGTACATTTAGATGGGGGACTTTTATCTAGTTCTTATGTGTTATCTTCAAAAATAAGTTACACTGCAAAGGTTCTTCTAGATTTTACTTTGACCTTTTGTCATTTCTGTTTTTTAATTATTATTATTATTACTTGTCTTAGTTACCTGCTGACTAAACACAGTTTCCTTTTTTACATAATTACACGTAAACACTGAATGCTATGTGACTGGCACAGGTATAGGGTACTAACAACCACAGCTGAAAAAATTTAAATAAAAATTTAAAATTTAAATTGCCTCACTTTCGTTCATATGGGACCATATCTTCATCTTATTACTGTCCTAAGATCAACTTAATGAAGATTTTACTTGCTCATAAAATTTTATTTTTTAACTTAGAAAATAGTAAAATTTTCTGAAATTTTATAATATAAAATAACATGGGTATACATTTTCATTGCAAATTTTTCATCCTTCACTTGTGTGGCATTTTTATGAGTATGGTCCAGAAACTAAGACTATACGGAACAAAGAGCGATGTCAATCATACAGCCGTAACAACACTGCTATCAATTTGTTGGTAACAGTCAACACTGAAAAAATATTTAAAAAATAATTTCACATAAGTGCTGCAATTTAATTGCTGTCTCTGACATTTTACAGGTTTGAAACAGTCTATTTTTCTTTGTTTCCCACCAAAATGCAAGACCTTTGAGGGCAGAACTTGTGTAATTTTTACGATTGTATTCCCAACGTGTGGCATAGTGCTTGGCTGTAAATAGATACAACTGTTAAAAGGTTTTCTTTTTCTTTTTTGAGGTAATATTTAAAATTGTATGTATGGTGTGATTCAGTTTGTTACTTTTGTAACTTAAAGTGTATGTCACTTATATTTAGCAAAACCACTTCAGCAGTTTTTGGAGTATTGTGAAAAGCCATAAAAATCACATATGACTTATCTTTTTGTTCTTCACTTAAAATAATCCATACCAAAAGACATGGGAAATATTGAAGGAATCTAATTTCATTTCCATTTTCTTTTTAGAGCAGTATACAGAGATGCTGATTTGTACCTATTAGACTCTCCCTTTGGATACCTAGATGTGTTAACAGAGAAAGAAATATTTGAAAGGTATGTTCTTTGAATAACTTATCCATGCTAAAAGACAAGAAGGAACAACTATACCACCATAGGCTGCATATTACTGCTTGAGAAATATGTCCACCATTGTGACTCAGAATGGCAGAATGTAATGTAGCCACTTACTCAAATCTGATCTTCCCTCTACGGTCAACATTAAAGATCACGTCCACTTTTCTGTCCACCTTATGCTGAACCAATTTTTCCCATTATTACTTTAACAATCACTAATTATGTAGGTTTTTATAGTATTATTGTCTTGTGACATAGCTTATATTATTTTAATTGATTATTATACTCAAACTTTTTATTCACTTTTTTCGTGTTAGTATTTTATTTTATCTCCTCCTTAGGTAGTAAACTTCTTAAGGAACCAAAGAAACTGAAGGTTTTAATGTTTTAATATAGGTGAATGCTCAGACTATTCATCTACCTCAATACCTCCTTCAGAACCTTCTCCTCAGTCACACAAAGCTCAGGGAATACATTTCATTGGAGCTCCCATTAGGGCTCAACGTATGTGAAGTTCCTACCAGGAAGTTAGTTATATAACTTGATTTTAAGGTTTCAAAATGATTTCATAGACTATAAAGTAGTTTATTAAGAGAATTATCATGATTCATTTTAATCAATAAGGATGTAGATTGTGTGTGTATAAAACGGCCATATTTTTCCTAGAAGCACCTTTCCTAGAATTTAGCAAAATTTAATACCTATGATACTATTTTTATAATCCTGTAACTATAAGTACCTTCTTACCAATATAAACTTTGCTAGTTATGTTAGTATGTTAGAGTATAGACTAGAATGATGCCTCTTTCTATCAATATATAATATAAAATGTTTTAATGCCAAAAAGAAATTGGTTTCAGATGGTTCTCGTCAGGATTTACTTCTAGACTTAGAGGGAAGTTTTGTTGGAGGACGGTCAAATGTATTATCCAATTCTCAGGTTTGTTATTGTGTTTTTTGTTTTTTGTGTTTTTTTTTGTGGTACGCGGGCCTCTCACTGTTGTGGCCTCTCCCGTTGCGGAGCACAGGCTCCGGACGCGCAGGCTCAGCGGCCACGGCTCACGGGCCCAGCCGCTCCGCGGCATGTAGGATCTTCCCGGACCGGGGCATGAATCCGTGTCCCCTGCATCGGCAGGTGGACTCTCAACCACTGCACCACCAGGGAAGCCCTGTTGTTGTGTTTTTAACAAATAAAATTAGTCTTAATATAAGCTCTTGAGGACAAAATTGGTGGTCAACTTAAAATATAAAAAAAGGAAATGAGTAGAAAGTTTAAAGAACAAGAAAGCTCTGACATTTTAGAAGACATGTAGAAATATAAACCCTAAGGAATCTTAAAGGTCATCTAACGATTCCCTTATTTTCTAGATGAATCAGCCATGACCCAGAGGGTAACCAGTTCATTCAAAGTCAAATGTTTATTTAATATCAGATATTTAATTTCATTCTAGGTCTGTTAACACTCAACTTTATAATGTAGCATACTATAATAATTCAATAATACAGTATTTCATGTCATAATAATTCAAGAGTGCAAATTAGTTACTATTTTTTTTAATATTTACTTATTTTAAGTATAATAATAACATTGTATGGTAGAGGTTTTATACAAGAATAGGTTAATAAAATGTTAAAATGCAATATATATACTATTGTAATAAATTGTTTATTAAATTAATATTTATATATTTTTATATTCTTAAAGCTGTGTCTGTAAATTGATGGCTAACAAAACTAGGATTTTGGTCACTTCTAAAATGGAACATTTAAAGAAAGCTGACAAAATATTAATTTTACATGAAGGTAGCAGCTATTTTTATGGGACATTTTCTGAATTACAAAATCAGCGGCCCGACTTCAGCTCAAAGCTCATGGGATATGACACTTTTGACCAGTTTACTGCAGAACGAAGAAATTCAATCATAACTGAGACTTTACGGCGTTTCTCACTAGAAGGAGATACTTCTGTGTCCTGGAATGAAACGAAAAAGCAATCTTTTAAACAGACTGGAGAGTTTGGTGAAAAAAGGAAGAACTCCATTCTCAATTCAATCAGCTCTGTGAGGAAATTTTCATTTGTACAGAAGACTCCATTACAAATGAATGGCATCGAAGACGATTCTGTTGAGCCTTTAGAGAGAAGACTATCCTTAGTTTCTGGTTCTGAACTGGGAGAGGCTATCCTGCCTCGGAGCAACATGATCGATGCTGGTCCCACATTTCAGGGACGAAGGAGGCAGTCAGTCCTGAACCTTATGACCTGCTCCTCGGTGAACCAAGGTCAAAGCATTCACCGAAAGACAGCAACATCCACACGAAAAATGTCACTGGCCCCTCAGGCGAGCTTAACTGAAATAGATATATATTCAAGACGGTTATCTCAAGATACTGGCTTGGAAATAAGTGAAGAAATTAATGAAGAAGATTTAAGGGTGTGTATAAGTAATCAGTGTGGTGTTTCCGTGTTTTCCTTTCTTTTTTTTCTTTTGGCCACAAAGAGTGGGATGTAATACATACTATGTAGCAAAACTTACTCAAATTTGAGTTTAGGATGAGGTTTATTTTTAAGATTCCTAAAGTCCAAAGTATGTAAATTATGTAAGCAACGTCGAAATGTGAAAGAATCAACTGTTTCCTTTTGTGATGTCTCTTACTGTAAGATGTATTGTAAGTCAAAGCAAGGACTAATATTGAGTCCTTTACTAAGCAGTGATAATCATTATTATTAATGAGAAAAATTATGAATTATTATAAATCTGTTTCATTACCCTCCTAAAACCTCTGTGGGAAGAGGTGGAGTGAAAACAAATATATAAACAAATAATAGCTTCAGTTATTGAGAGACAAAGAAATGTTTCTGTATGCAGGTAGCCTCTATAAGGTATATAAACATCTAGTCTCTCAACAGGACTAACATTCTGGCTTATACCTCAGTCTTGCCTGAATTTAGTTAATGTGAGCTTTTTTATCATTTAAATTTCATTATACATAGGATTTCTGGGCAGGTTTCTTTTAAAGAAGGTATGTGAAATTCAACATATACTAGTGCCAACGTTCAGGTAGAAAGTCTTTTATATTAAGTTCTAAAGAATAAAATGCTTTTATTCTTAAAATAGGAGGCAATAGAAAAGAGGAGGGTTTTTTTTAAACTAGAAAAATTCCTTAAGTGCCTTGGATGAAACAGTGTTGTAATAAATCGATATGTTTAATAGCATAGATCAATTACGAGTAGTGTGACCTTTGGCAAGTCACATGTCATTTAATGTCTCTGGGCCAAAGTTTCTTTCTTTGTAAAATGAGGGAACAGAATAGATGATCTCTAAAATACATACTTTCAGTGTTTCTATAATCTTAAAAAAGATTTCCTAAAAGATAATTTATCTGTATGGTTTTAATACCAATCTGAATGAATTTCTCAAACCTGATTCTATAAGTTTAATTGTAAAGAATGATCACTTTGACTGATAATAGTATTTATTGATTGCTTCTAGTGCAATGAGCATATTCTCAGAAGGTCCTCTCATTATCCTCATTTATAGATAAGGAAACTAAATTTGAGAGAAGTTCAGCTGCCTGAATTCAAGCAGCTCCTAGGAAGTCAATGATAGAGTCCAGATTCAAATCCAGGTTTACTTGACTTCAGAAATTTTTACATCTAACCAGTGTGTCATATTCCAATTTCCTAGGACCCTTTCTTTGATGTTCTAGTGCTTCTTCTTGAATTTTGTTGACTTTATAAGAAACAAAACTATCCTTTCCCTTTGAAATATCTGGATTTTCTCTCTTTCAAATTATTGAACTATAGCTCTCAAAGTTAAGTCAAGGATGGTTCTGGGAAGCTTCAGTTTGCTGGTACCATTTATTTGATAAAATGTGTGACACTGTTAAGCATTAAAATGGTAAAATTGTTCAAAAACAATACACTTGTTTTATCAGCAATATTACATTCAGAGTTTGAAGAATCGCAGTGTTCCTCATTTTTCAAAAAGCTATGTTGCTCCAGTGGACATTATATTGGCTGTGGAGTGACATCACATGTGTCATTCATAATGGTTTATATTTGTTGAAATTCACTTAGTTTCAAATAGTAATATTCCTTTATTTCCACACATTCAAAATAAAACCACAGTGCTGGTGTGAACCTGTATTGTCACATTGTAATAACTATGATTCTTTGTTTCAGGAGTGCTTTTTTGATGATGTGGAGAACATACCAGCAGTGACTACATGGAACACATACCTTCGATATATTACTGTCCGCAAGAGCTTAATTTTTGTGCTAATTTGGTGCTTAGTCATTTTTCTGGCTGAGGTAAGAATTTTCTGTTATTAAGTATTAATGTGATTTAAAGTTAAATTAAGAATAGTTTGGAAGGATATATATATATATACATGTATAAATGTATATATATGCATAAATATAAGTGTATGTGTATATATGAAATTTTATATCATATAATGATATGTATAGTTCTTCTATTGATATTTTATTACTTCATACATAGCATATAAAATATACTTAAGCACATATCTTCTATATGAAGAGTTTTTGAGACATTCAAAACCTCAAAGTAGAATGTCTTTATATGAATTGAATTTAAACAATGAAAATTATTCTGTACTAAATTCATTTGACTCTAGATATTGCATTATTAAATATGCCAGTGATGAATCCCACCTTTAAAAGACTATTTCCTCACAAAATAAAATAAATATATATTAGTGGCTTAGAAATCATTTTAAATAAGCCTTTCAGAGATTCAAATCACCCATTTGCTTACAGAATTCTTTTGTCTTCAGTGCCACCATCATGGTCTCTTTACCATGCTGCTCTCCTTCACATCACCAGGTTAAAATAAAAGAGGGGGGCAGTAGGTCACAGGTTCAGTTCTGCATTAAGGTAAGAGGTTTCTGAAGCTGGTTGGTGAATGAGGTTATTCTCTAGATCAGGAGCAGCCACTTAAATGAGAAAAGAGGCTTGGCAGAGGATGTCTAGTGGTGAAGTGGCTTTGAGGCTGGATGGAGAATATTTGCCAATTGTCGAACGGGAGCAGTCGTAACTCAACACCAGCCAAGGACTTCCCATGAGGGGTTTCGGGATCAGTTTCACTAAACCTTCTTATTTTTCAACATAAGATGAAAATACAGATTTTTTCTGTAAAAATTTCTCATTTTTAAGTGTGGGTAGTTGGTTAAAGTAAAACAAACAAATGAACACTACGTGGGTACAAAAAAACATATCTGGATTGGATTCAGCCTGTGAATGACTACTCTAGATATTTATCTCGGAGGATACTGCTGGATGTGTCCTAATATACAGCCTGAATCCAACATAAAGGCCCAGGCTGCCTTCAGGGGGAGAAATGACCCAGGTGAAGTACTGCCTCTCCTGAGGGTGTATAATTATATACATACCTGAAACCCAAACTTAAAACTACACCATTGTCTTATTAGGCTGCTTCTAACCTCAGTTAAGAAGTCCACATAAAATATTATCACTCCTCCTTGACCAAGTAAAGTAGTGTAAAATATTAAAGGTATGTACCAAAAGTTGTACATACCACTTCACCTATAAAGCGTTGGTTTCCATTTGATCTTTGAGTTTTGATGATATCACTTCTTTTGCTCTACTACTATTTTAAATTAATAAAACAAATGGAGGCTGAATGTGAGATGCAGTATTGCATAGTGCCACCTCTGGACTCAGACTGATCTGGCTGTGAATTCTAATTCTGTGTTTTTAACACTATGACACTGAACAAGTTAGTTAACCTCTCTGAGCCTCAGTTTCCTCATCTATAAAATGGAGGTTGTAATAGTACCAATTTCAAAGGTCATTTTTGTGGGTTAAGAGATATCATGATTATAAAGCACTTACTGTAGGGCTTGGCATATAATGAGCAATGCTAATTGCTATTCTTACTAATATCCTTAATGTCTATCATCATTATAAAGCTCAAGCTAGTTTGAGGTGAACAAGTCCATGACAGAGATATAGTAAAAATTTCAATAATTCCTTTTACAGTTTAACAAAACTATGGGGTTGAGTAACTCGAGACTCTCACATGAGGTAATGAAAATTACGTTGAAATGTATTTTTAATTTACCTCATTAATCTCTGCCAGTCATGCCAAATGACCAACATTAATGCGAATGAGACTCAGTCTTGTGCCACAGTTAATCTCAAACCAGCCCTTTGTCATTGTTAATGATTTGAACCTCTTCATTGAAAGATCAACATTACTTGACTGTCTTCAGTTTAGTTTTATGAGAAAAAATGGTCCTATCTGAATGTGGTGGTGATTTATGTTCACTTACAGGACCCTTGTCCCACGTAGAGCTGTAGAGCTGTAGAGCTGAACTTACGTGCCTTTCAACACAGTGTATAGTTAATGAATTAGAGACTGAGCGTTGAGCCACTGAACCTGTGTACAATATTATTAGCTCACTTACTCAAGAAGACAGTGGTCCTTTGTCTTTAGGCTAGAAACCAAACTACAACAGAGGATGTAAATGTTGTATAACTTCCCATTATTAGTTTAGCTCTCACAGTTATTGCAAAAACTTTTCTTTTTAATGGACAAAATAACCAGTAATGTCATTTTCTAGGCAAGAAATAATATAAAAAATTATGAGCCTTTTTTGGCCCAGTATCCTGAAGGCATTGCCAATTGACTGGTTCTCAAAATTTTGAATAACAAAAACTTGGTGATAGTAGAAAAACAGTAATTGTTTTCATCATGTGCACCGTTATACAGCTAAACAAATCATTCAGATGTTCACAATTCTGTCACATCTTTGAATCAAAATTTACATAATTTTACTTTTAGACTAAGCTCCTTTCTTAATACCAATGTGCCTCTTCTCATTACCATTGAAATATCTCATATGTGCTTTGCATCATGGTACAAGTGCTAATCCAGGAAGATAGTTTAGGTCTTTTAAACTTTATTTAGAGCCTCATACTCAACATGATCAGAGAACCTAAAGAAAAGTTAAGATACATTTCTTCCTTTGTGGAAGTGATGTACCCATTTTTAGTTTTCATAGGGGCCACTTCAATCTAGATTTTATAATTTTATAGAGTAGGTTCAATAAACTTCCCTTTTAGAGTATGAAAGTAATAACTTTTTTATTTCTTCAAAGTGCTAAACTTAAAAAATTAGTTTGGTCTACTCAGTTTGTTACCAATTATCATTAGAGTGTCATTTTGATAAAGGAGTCAGTCTACCTTATATTTTTGTACTGTTTTCTTTACCATAGAACAGTATCTTCTGTTAAGTTCTTAGATATTGGCACCAGGGATATAGGCTTTTAAATTTCTATTATGTTGGTCTCTCTAGTGCTCTAACTTGGCAGTACAGCATTGACTAGATAGAGAAGAAACGCAAATTATACAGTAGGAGGCAGTTTCCTCCTTACTTTTACAACAACCAGAGGGTATTATTGTTGCCTGGAGTATCTAAAGATCCAGTTCAGTCCTTTTATTCCTGAGAGTTTTAAGAAAAGTGTCAGAGAACTGCTATATACTATTCCCTTATGATTTCCCTTCTGTTTGCTAATGAGGAATCACTAGGTGGCTTTACATTATTAGTATACACAATATATGCTCCCATAATACCTTAATGACAGTTATACCTTTATTGATAGTAATACTTTTAAGGCAGCATTACTTAGCAAGTGTCTATGTTTTAGGGCGTGATTTAACCTGAAAAGCATTGAAATCTGCGATTAAGTCATAACAAGGTGTCACTTCACTATTACTGCCTGTCATTCATTCAGCCACTTACTAATTCAACACCTATGTTTTTAGTTCTTTCAGTATGTCAGGCATAATTCTATATGCTGTGTATACCATGAAGTACAAAACAGAGTGTACAGATAGAATACACTAATGTACTTATGTTAGCAGAACATTCATAATACTGTGCTCCTTGGTGAAAACTCAAAATGCCAATACTATTTTAACGGTAGTCATTTACACACAGATCTCCTTGTGTGACTTGGGAAGAGCTCTGAATTCTGCATTTGTGCAGAACTTATAGAATGAATGGGTTCCGGTTCTTTATCTTTATCCTACATAACATATCATGATATGTTATGCTTTTTTAAATGTTTTCTATGTGATTAGTATATAATTTCTGCCTGTTGACATCGGTATTTTTTATTTTTAAAAAAAATATTTATTTGGTTGCGCTGGGTCTTAGTTGTGGCAGGCGAACTCTTAGATGTGGCATGCATGTGGGATCTAGTTCCTTGACCAGGGATTGAACCCAGGCCCCCCCCCCCCATTGGGAGTGCAGAGTCCCAATCATCATGCCACCAGGGAAGTCCCTGTATTTTTTATTTAAGTATACTCTTATTTATCCCTTCCTTTATTTATTAAGTATGGATTTACCGAATGCCTACTGTTTACTGGGCGTTGTTTTAGACACTAAGGCTATAATAGGAAAGAGAACAGAGGAAAAATACATTTTGATGGAAATAATCACAGAGTGTAATAAGTGCCTTATTAATATAAGGCACTTATATTAGCCTTATTAATATAAGGCACTTATATTATAATAAGGGCTAATATAAAGCTGGGCAAAGGAGGGTAGACAGGGAAGTCTTCCTGACGAAATGACATTTCATTCACACCCGAAAGATAAGAAGGACTCAGACATGCAGAAACTGGGGCAAATGCAAAGGTCTTGGAAAAGTTTGGTAAATTATGGAAACTGAGAGGAGGCCAGCACAATTGGAACAGTGGGAGAGAGAAGTGAGTGGCATGTCACGTGGTGACATTGGAAAAGTAGGCCAGAAACAGGTTTGCAGAACCATTGGCTGAAGTAAAGAGTTTGGATTTTATTTTAAGTGCAACAGGAAGCCTTTGAAAGCCTTCATTCAGGGTATGATATGACTTTTTTATGCTTTAAAAAAGATCACTCTGTCTGCTATATGGAAAATGGATTGGATGGGGACACAAAGGGAGGCCGGAACATCTGTTATGACAGGAAGGGATTGCTGTTATTAACTAGGCTCAGCATCCAGAGTGTTTAGAACCTTTAAGTCATATTTAAAGGCCTCTGAAGATATTCCACAGTGAAGTATTTAGGAGTGCCTTCTTTGTAGTTTATTAAAGTTCTTCATGATAGAATATTGGACCATTATACCTCATGTGGTTGTATTCACGTTTTTGAACCTTTTCTGTACCTGGCCTTGGCAGTTTTCTTCTCTTTTCACGCCTATTTTCTTTCGTTGTGAGTATCAAACTTGTACCTAGCCAGGTTATGTCATGGTAGGGTTCCTCCTAAGTCTTGAATATATTCTTCCTGTAGTTCTCCATCACATCTTATTTTTGAAATCATACTGTTGGTGTTTTACTATATAGATGATCAACCTTCATCTATCACGTGTCCGAAGATGTTTACTAGTTCATTTAGCAAATAAGCCTTTCAGAAAGAGGCACTTAATTTCTCTTTCCGTATGTGTATGCTGTATATTCTATCCCCGACATGCCATTATTTTTTAAATCATAGAGACAAATTATCTATATAATTTAAATTGTGACCTAGCTTCTAAATACTGGCTACTTCTTTTTCATTTGGGGGCATTTGCGAAGTTCGTGAATCATCACGTTGACTGTTCAGGGATCTATCCTTAGAGGACACCATAATCAGACTCCTGATACCTAGCATGGGTGTATAATAAATACGCTGGCTACACCCCTATCTAACTAACAGTTTTAGTCTATTCATGCACTGTCCAGTACAGTAGCCACCCACCAGCCATGTATGACCACATAAATTAAATGAAATTATTTAAAATGAAACACAATGTAAAATTCAGTTCCTCAGTCACCCACAATGGCCACATTTCAAGTGATCAGGTGCCATGTGTGTCAAGTGGCAATGACACTGAACAGTGCAGATACTGAACATTTCTAGTTTTGTAGAAATTTCTCTTGGACAGTGCTGATCTAGGCGGGACCATTTTCTATGTGATATGGAATGATGTTTAAAACCCTGAAAGAGCTGAAAATAATGACCTTTTTGCTTTTCCTCTAATCTTTCAGTACTGTCACTCTATCACAAACTGTATGAACTTTATAACCTCAAACATTTTTTTTTTTTTTAAAGAAGATGTTGGGGGTAGGAGTTTATTAATTAATTAATTAATTTTTGCTGTGTTGGGTTTTGGTTTCTGTGCGAGGGCTTTCTCTAGTTGTGGCAAGCGGGGTCCACTCTTCATCGCGGTGCGCGGGCCTCTCACTATCGCGGACTCTCTTGTTACGGAGCACAGGCTCCAGACGCGCAGGCTCAGTAGTTGTGGCTCATGGGCCTAGTTGCTCTGCGGGATGTGGGATCCTCCCAGACCAGGGCTCGAGCCCGTGTCCCCTGCATTAGCAGGCAGATTCTCAACCACTGCGCCACCAGGGAAGCCCAACCTCAAACATTTTGGAAATTAAATGTTAGAACTCGCTTGCTTAATTGTTTCTATATGCCCCAGACATTTTCATTAAAGTCATTATGTCAAGTCCTTGGAAATGTTTTTGTTCCAGTCAATAAAAGTAGTTTGGGTTGGTGGTTCCACAAGTGGTCTCTATTCGCAAGAGCCAAGAAATAACTTTATATTACACTGATTAGACCAGTGTCTTTGAACAACTGCTTTGGTTATTGCAAATATTATAAAATATTTATTTCTGGGATTTACTCACATTCAGAGAAGGTTGGAATGCCAACATTATTGACACTTCTTTCACTGGAGCAAAGAGGGACTATAATAACCAAAGAGTCCCTCACAGATATACCCTTATCTAGGTTCTTGAATAATTTGATTAGTCTTAGGAAATAGGAAAACATTTGTACTGGAACAAAGACTTTTGAAATAGCTAGATTATTGCTGTGTTTCTTGTCATTTTGAATTCACTTGAATTTCAAGGAAACAAAGGTGGTTTTTCTTTTTATTAATATGGTTCATGGAGGCTATGTGTATAATGAAAAAAAGTAGGAAAGTGAGAATGATGCTATTAGATTTTTCATTATTATACTCCTATCTGATATGCAAATTTACCAAAAATTATATACTGTTTAAAGTATATAACTTCATAATGTAATTTCTTAATGCTAATTATTCTCCATAATTTTTATATGGTACTGTTAAATACTTAAGATAAATTGATTATGAAATAAGAGATAGATTTCTTATACCAAGCGTATTTCTTTCTCCCCTATTTATTTTTACTCTGTGTTCATTTTCAAATTATTTTACTTACAGTTTCTCCTTTTTTTCTATTTGATTCTTTGTTAAAGTTATTATCAGGCTAATTGTATAATTTCAGTCTTATAATTGTGTAAATATTTCTGGTGTTATAATTGTGTTGGTATCATCACAAGATTGTTTTCCCACAGCATTTAGGAGACTGCAATGCCAAATTGAAATAGAACAGAGTACAGATCATTTAAATAACACAGAAAATAAAAACTAAAAACTAAAATCATGGTTGTTAAACACTTTTCTTTTTTGGTTTAGTTATGGGATAGAACATTTGTTCTTCAACCAAAAGTTTCCACCTTGAGAAAGCCCAAATAGTGCCAATAGTGTATGTTTTAACCTGAATGCACCTTATCTTTATTTAAAAAACATGAATTTATTTATTTTGAATTTTATTTTATTTATTTTGTATACAGCAAGTTCTTATTAGTTATCTGTTTTATACATATTAGTGTATATCTGTCAATCCCAATCTCCCAATTCATCCCACCACCACCCCCCCAAAAAACCATGAATTTTTACACTTTTGAGATTTTAACTGGTTTTCATGAATATATATCTCATCTTTTCCAGTAATTAATTGGTCTTATAGTTATGCCCCTCATAATCATTGTATGACAAATGAAATTATTTATAGCCACCAACCAGATAAATTATCTGCCAGCAGGCTGAGAGTAATCTCTTCATAAGAAACAAACTTTATTACTTAAAGTGTTTAACTGCAATATTAGCTCTCCTGTGAGGTTCAATGAACAGTTCCTGTTGAATGAAGGAGAGAAATGGAAAAGTATTTTATTCAGTGAAATTGGAATTCCATTAACTTAACATGTTCTCACCTCAAATAGTGGTTCTTAGAGCAATTATTGCAGCTGCTGGACCCAGGAAAGTAAAGCAAAGGAAAATGAAATTGTATATATTTCAATGTTAGTCATGGTGGAATTAGAAGTGGGTGTGGGAAAAATAGGAGAAGATGCTGGAAAAAAAAATCAAGTGTGTATTGTTCCATTCCAGGTGGCTGCTTCTTTGGTTGTGTTGTGGCTGCTTCCAAAGTGAGTATTCCATGTCCTATTGTGGATTGTATTTTGTTTCTATTGATTATTTGGGTCTTATTAATTATTGTAATATCCACTCTGCTTCATTTCCCCACAGTACTGTAGTGGAAAATTGAGTTCTTTTGTTTAAAATTGTGAGCATGTGCAGTTCCTGCAGCTCTTTACCAATTTTTAAAGGATTTAGTTGTGCTTAGTTTCCATAAAATGCAATAACAATATTTAAAACAACCTTGCACACTTAGTATTTTCTCTGAGTATTTGAAATTTTGTCTATTTCAATGGTTAAAAACTTAATCTACTTTCTTGCAATAGTAAGTCCTTCAGGTTAAAGGCATAAGCTCTGCTAATGAAATATGTTGTGTTTCTTTCGACTCAAATTCAGCATCATTTACATGTACTGAAAATTCAATGGGAAAGTTTGGTTGCCTGATAGCAATTTCCTTTTGCTTTACAGAACACTTCCTCAAGACAAAGGGAATAGTACTAAGAGTGCAAATAACAGTTATGCAGTGATCGTCACCAGCACCAGCTCGTATTATGTTTTTTACATTTATGTGGGAGTAGCTGACACTTTGCTTGCTCTGGGACTCTTCAGAGGTTTACCACTGGTGCATACTCTAATCAGAGTGTCAAAAATACTACACCACAAAATGTTACAGTCTGTTCTTCAAGCCCCTATGTCAACCCTCAACACGTTGAAAGCAGGTACTTGACTAGGTGTACAAAATGAAGCTACTGCACCTCCACAAACAGGGCCTGTGAGTTGGTTGGTTTTCTAGTAGTAGCACTGGGTTTTGCATGCAGGCATCTACCCTTTGTTGAGCTTCCTTATGACTGGCATGTACCTGTCTCAGGTATTATAGGCTCTCAGATACGGTCACTCCTCATATTTCTGTATCAGTTAATTAGGGTAGCTCAGTTTGTTAGGACATGATGCTGATGGGACTGTAGCAGCAGAAGCAGGCCCTTCTGAGTCAGCTGTCCTCTATTCAGATATTTGATCTAGCCCCCTTCTAAGCATCTTGCTGCCAATGTATATTGTTGTTTAAAAGAGGAGAAGATTTGAAGTGATCAAAAAAAATTCTAAGATTCTTTTACTAATAAAGTGTTTTGATGAGGTAGAGTAATCTAGTTTCATGTAACTGTTCAAAGATGATCCCATAAATTCATTCAGGGTTGTTTTAAATGGGTTGGGTGGATCCCAAATGTATTTTTAAAGTATTTTTGACACTATCATAGAGGTTAGTAAAAGAGCACAAGCTGTCAGTTATAAGATGAGTGAGGTCTGAAGATCTAATGTATAATGTGGTGACTATAATTAATAACACTGTCCTGTATTATTGAAATTTGCTAAGAGAATAAAACTGAAATGTTCTCTCACACACGCACAAAGGTAACTATGAAAGGGGATGAATGTGTTAACGAACTCAGTGAGAGGAATCCTTTCCCAGCGTATACATATATTAAATCATCACATTGTATACTTTAAATATCTTACAATTTTTTGTCAATTATACCTCAACAAAAATAATTAAGGCCACAGAAAGTAAGAGTAGTGAAATAAAGGGACCAAAGATTTTAAAAACTAAGGACAATAAGGTACTTTGAAAGTAATCAATTTTATTGATTCCCCTTTAGACAAATTCACATTTAAAGAATCTGAGGTTAATAAGGAATCTCCCAAGTTTTATTCTTACAGAAATCTGTTGAACACTTACTTTCTATGGCACTAAGCCAGGGACTGGTATGAAAAGATGAATAAGGCACAGTTCTTGCCCTGGAAGAATCCAGACAAGGGAGAGGAGGTAGACACAGGAACACTTGATTATAAAGGAAAGAATAAATTCCAAGACTGAGATTTTTAGAGTGATATGTATCTAAAAATCTCAAGATAAGAATTGTCCATCATTTTTTTCTGGGTAAAACATTTCAGTGTTCGTATTCAAGAAGATCTTCCTTACATTTATTCTTTTAAGCCCTTGTGTATCACTAAAGCCTTGCCTCATTTGGATATACTCATCACCACACTTCTGTTTTAGAGCTAAGAAATTTTAGACCTAAAAGAGAATGCCCAATTACCTTGATTCAATGATTTCATTTTTTTAAATGGGAAAACTGAGATCCAGAGAAGGTAGGGGATTTGCCCAGGATTCTAGCAGTGAGAAATGGGCAATGAGATATAATGAAAGGAGCATGGGAATTGTCTGAGGTCTGGCTTGTCCTCATCAGAGTGATGATCCTGGGCAAGTTACTCTTCTGAGACTTTGCATCCACATCTGTAAAATGAGGAAATGAATAATTATCTCAGAGGATCATTGTGAGAATGAAAAAAAGTCATCATCTACTAGCCTGTTACATAGCCAACATGAAATAAATGCCGGTTCCCCACTGTTGTTCCCTTTCTATTGTTTCCCATTTGAAATATACTAAGCACTAGAATGATGTATGTATATATATTTTTTTTACCAAAGCAACTTTCATTTTCTACACAGAATAAATACCATACGCTACTTTTTTTTCAATTTTTGATTCATTTATGAAAAGATATACAAATATGTTTAATTAAATATGCTAAATAAAATATCATTAGTAAGGGCAAGGAGATAGTGACAAATAAGAAAATAATTGAATTCTTCCTACATAAGGCTTTTTGCCGAGGGCTCAGAGTGATACAAAATAAATGTGGCATGGTCCAATGACCTCTAGAAATTTACAGTCTAGAAAAAAGAGATGACATGTATACAAGCGACTGTACAGCATGGATATAATTATTACAACACAGAAGTGCTGTAAAGATGTATTAAAGGTATTAAGTGTGTCCAGAGGAAGAAGGGATTAATTTGAGCTGGTGCAAAAATTGATGCTTCCTTGCAGGAGAGGCATTTGAGTTGGGCCAGGAAGGAGACATAGATTTTAACATGTAGACATGAGAGGAAAGGGTTTTCAGGCAGAGGAGCTACATGGAAAAGGCAAGGAGGTAGGAGAGTATAAGGTGTATTTAAACAATAAGCCAGTTTGAAACAATGTTTGAGAAAAGGAAGCTTGTACCTAGGGTAGTTTAAGGCCAAATCATGGAAGGTATTAAATATTAAACTAAGAATTTTAGACTTTATCCTGCAGTAAATGGGGGGGGAGTAAATGATAAGATTCAATATCACTTTGTTTGTACAGTAATATGTTATAATTATAGGTTTAACTCACCCCTAGACAACGTATTCCTCAAGGGCAAGGAGCAAGGCTTATTCACCTCTGTTATCTCAGTGCCTAGCATTGTGCCTGCCACCTAGCACTCCATGTGTAACTTTTCTTCACTGAAGGAAAAAATGATCAGACTTACAAATGTGAGTCTGTTAATTTAGAAGACAGGCTGAAGCTTAGATTGCCAGTGAAGAGGGTAGAAAAGGAGGACATGGCAAAGGAGGTCCACATGGTGGGCAGGAAGGGGTTGAGAGCAGCCACGGGTTCTGCTGAGGTATGTTTTAGAAAGGTGTGGAAGTTGAAGGATAGGGAGGCTCTATATTACAAAATACAGATATAAGGGAATGATGAGAGCATATCCAGAAAATTATTACTAAACTCAGGCTTGTAAATGGGAGACTGTAGTAGTAGGATGGGTGCCTATTCCTGACATAATTTGTGATAGGGCTCTATTAAAGACCTTGGTTTTTGCCTGAATCTTATAGCAATCTGTATTTTATAAAAGTTTAAAAGTAGGAGACAATAAGTTGAACACAGAGTTATTTAGAATCTTTGTACAACTTAGAATTCTTGTACTAACATTGTCTACGTCATTATATATATATGTATATATGATTATGTACTCATTTGTATTTGAGTTCTGAAGGCTTCTGCTGTGATCCAAAGTTATCAAATCCATGAAATATTGATATGTATTTTTAAGGTTACTAGTTTCTGAAGAATTTTTCTTCACATTATAGGTGGGATTCTTAATAGATTCTCCAAAGATATAGCAGTTTTGGATGATCTTCTGCCTCTTACCATATTTGACTTCATTCAGGTTTGTAAAAATAAGTACTATTAAGTGACTTTGCTTTGTTGCACTTTTTAAAACTAATTAGAAAATGTAGTAAATTAGTTCTTGCTTACTTTTCATCCGATTAAGAGTTGAAGCCTGTATATTTATAAATCTTTTCAATATTAAAAAAAATCTTCAAAATAGTCATAAATTTAGTAAATTCAGTAGTAAGTCAGAACTGTTTACCTGACCAAAGCCTAAGGCAATTCCTCATTTAGATATAATAGCTGTCTACTTGGGAGTGATTTAAGATGTATAGCAGACCGCTTTCCCCCAAATCACTGCCCATGAAGTGTGAGATTTTTGACATTGGCATCATTATTTGAGAGAAGTCACCTACCTCCAGAGGGCCCATGTTAAAATGTAGGTCAGTCAGTTTCCTGGTGGACTACAGTTTCAACCACTCTCATCCATGAACACTTCGGCAAAGAGTAGCTAGTTAGCAATCTCACAGTAAGGACCATAATGCAGGGACAGAAGTACAGGTAAGTTTTCAAGCAGGGAGAGAGGAAGGAAAAATTCAGGACTAGTCAGGACTATCCCTGGGTGACAGACCTGAAGACACCTGCAGGGCAGCCTGACTCTGAGCATGTGTCCTTGGGGTGGGGTGATTGATGGTGAAAGTGGAGAAGGGAAGAAGGGGTTGGAGATGAAGGTGACCTAGGGGATACCGCATTAAGACTTCATAAGTGACAGAACTTGAGTGTTGTGAGTTAATAACCTTGGCTGTTGAACGAGGTTTGAAAACAGCTTACTGTCTGGCTTAGGTTGAGCCTCAGAGAGTAAATGACACAGTCGCAATGACCTCCTTGGAGAGACACTTGGAACAGGATGCTGCCCATCTTAGGATGAGTTGTTCGCCACCCCCGCCACTGAGAACCTGTGAAATAAAATAACATAAGGGCTATCACATTTGTGTGTATACACAACTGACATTGGCAGGTGCACAAAAACCAGATTGCCAGTTTGCCTCATCTGGAATGATTGGCACAGTCAAACACATTAACTGTTCCAGGTGAACTTTAGAATCTTGTGTTTCCTTCAGTTACTCTGTTTAGGGATATAACTTAGCAGCCACTGCTGGAATTCTTTAACCGATGCTTTGAGTTTATGCATGTGAAGGAATGTTTCCCATGTCTTTCTTTAATTTCTGGACATTTCTTCCTTGTTCTAGGATTGTAAATGACTGATCTCAACTGTAATATTATTAAATCAGGTACAAACTGGAACATGGATATCTTGACATGACTGCAAAAGAATTCACGAATGTTAGCCCTTGATAATTAAAAAAAAAAAACTTTTGTAGTCTGCTGAGTATTTTCTGAATCAGTGTAAGGCTTACTTCAGAAGTCCTTTGGGAGAGTGCAGTTTTGAACATTTATTTTATGAATTAACACGTCTTGACACACGTGATGGTTCTCATCCTTTCTCTTATGGCAATTTTCAGTAGTTTCTGCTCAACTTCTAATGTTGCAGCTCACTAGTTGTTTCATAAGTGATTGGGCAGGGCTTTTTTATTTTGATTTCCCTATTTTATTTACAAGGGGGTCTCACATTAAGGAAGCATGATACATGACAATCAAATACAGTAAAAATCTGATTAATTTTGATTTATTAAAAAATGCATCAGAGGGGTCCTTTAAATTGTGAACCCCTTTGGTTATACTTATGTTCAGATTAGTTAAATTTCTTTTTAGTCACATTTCAGAAACAGATTTTTTCACAGAATGAGGCACACCTGTAAATTTCCTTTTTTAAAAAAATGTTACTTCTGTTAACTCTAGTTCTTAACATTTGATAATATTCTGGGCAATTTACTTTCTGGATTGGAACATTGTATAGTGAAAATGAAAGATCCAGATTCTATTCTGCAGAAACCACTATTTATTTTACCTTGAGAAAGATACTTAATCTCTAAGAGTCTCAGGTTTCTCAAATGAGGAAGATAAGTCTGATGATGGTCACTTTCAATATTAAAGTCGTATGCTTCCGATGGGCATACTGGAAGTGGACCATACCTGACAAATTTGAACTTGAAGCCACACAGAAAAAAACTATCCTGGCGTCCTACTTATCTCTATGCTTCAGTGACTGATTTTTTTCACGAAACAGAAGGCTCCGTGTTTTAAAATATGCAAATCTTCTCTTGTCAGCCTCAAAACCTTTAGATTTTTTTGATTCTTTCTGTCTTACCCTAATATATGAATACACAGTGAGTCCCACCACTTTGATCTCTACTGTGTCTTTTACATCTTTTTTCCTCCCTTATTCATTCTATTAATCCCATTAATCCCTGGCTTAAAAATTCTCAAGGACTAACTATCAATTATGAATTAAATTCCAGATCTGGTGTTCATTGCCTGGTTTTAAATAAGTATTTATTATCTATTTATTGATCAATCAATTAATTAACCTTCTAAATGATTTCAAAGTGATCCTTCATTCTTATCATCTGGTACCTTGCAGGTTTTATAGTCTGTTGATTTGTTTTCCCCTAGAATTTTAGGATTTGGGTAAGGATGAATGGGAATTAGAATCTGTACTCACATTTCCATCTTGTATTGAAGTCCCTCTATTTACTTATTTTGTTGTCCTCTCACTAATATACCTGGTCTGAAATGACTTGTTTCTTATTTACTGTGAATTAAAAACTAGGACAGAATTTAAAGTTTCTTTGTATAATTAGAATATCAAACATATTAAATCAGTACCTTTAGTTTTGCACAAGTGCTAAATTATTAGCTTCTGACCTCAATGCCTAAGGATGGCTCCTTATAAAGCAAATAGAGTTATTTTCCTCAAAGCTTAGATTTACTGTTCACTTCTCAATTTGGGCTTTATTCTGGATAATTTTAATCGCTGGAAATCTACCTTGTGAATATTTCACCATTTCCAGTTTTACCCACCTTCTCCATTCTTCTCAAACCCTATGTGATATCTTGGTTGGGTTGGCTGCACAATTCTTCCTGTTCTATTGTAAAATAGTTATTGTCATTCCTAAGAATCTCCACCATATCAGCAATAATTAAGTCAGAAAGAGAGAAACAAATACCGTATGCTAACACATATATATGGAATCTTAAAAAAAAAAAAATGGTCATGAAGAACCTAGGGGCAAGACAGGAATAAAGACACAGACCTACTAGAGAATGGATTTGAGGATACGGGGAGGGGGAAGGGTAAGCTGGGACAAAGTGAGAGAGTGGCATGGACATATATACACTACCAAACCTAAAACAGATAGCTAGTGGGAAGCAGCCGCATAGCACAGGGAGATCAGCTTGGTAATTTGTGACCACCTAGAGGGGTGGGATAGGGAGGGTGGGAGGGAGACGCAAGAGGGAAGAGATATGGGGACATATGTATATGTATAGCTGATTCACTTTGTTATAAAGCAGAAACTAACACACCATTGTAAAGCGATTATACTCCAATAAAGATGTTAAAAAAAACAAACAAACAAACAAAGAAAAAATAATGATCACTTTCCCCACCCATTGTTATAATCCAACAGCTCCAGATTGGAATTACATGGTAAAAATAGCACAAGACAAATGAACACAGTGCCGTTCACAACTGTCAACAGCAAACAAAAAAAAACCCTGATTCTAATGGAATAGCTGAACGTTTCCATGTTGCCAATGCAATAGCATTTGTGTTTCAGACATACTGGTATTTAATATGGTGGCCCATTTAAATTAAATTGTATTTCCTAGTAAATAATGCTTGGAAGTTAATTTTTCTCTTTTTTTCAAAAGATCCTATTTCTGAGAAATAAATACCCTCAGTTAAAAAACTGAGTCCTTCGCCATCGATGAAGTCTTGTCATGTAGTAACTAGGGCGTTTGAGGCTTTCTCATTGTACTGGTGGAACTTGTAGGGCAAGAACAGAATAGAGAAGACTTTCTTTAGATTACTGAGTCATCATATGTACTTAGTCTGTGGAACTTGTAGGGCAAGAACAGAATAGAGAAGACTTTCTTTAGATTATTGAGTCATCATGTGTACTTAGTCCAGTGTTTGGCACTGTATTTATCTGAGTATTTGTTGAACGAAAATGAGCGAAGGGCTTATTGTAGAATTTGATGATGGACACCTTAGAGGCATTTTCCCTAGAAAAGTATCGTTGAGATATGATCATCCGAAGCTTTAGATGAACATAACAACCCATTCAAAGAAGATTTATGCAGATCTTAGTTACATGCTTATTCATGTTTTCATCTACCAAAATGTTCTGTATTTCTGTATCGGTTGTACATGTGTTGTACAAAGTACATTGGTTGTACAAAGTACATATGTCACCCATGGCAGTTGGTAGACAACTGGCTCAGTGATTATCAGATAGATGTTATGATAGGTTTATTTTTCAACCCTTGTTGTGACAGTTACTTTACTTATGCTTTATTCACATGGGGTATTGTGGAACAAATGTTAGCAGATTTTTTTTAATATGTATGGATTTAGTGTCCTTTGGAAATATAGAATTTAAGCATTGAACTTGATCTGAAGAACACCAATATGGTTAACTTGTTTCTGAGACTGCCCACAAGGATCCAGTTTTGAGGGTGGATAATGTGAAGATATGTCTCTAATGAATGGGCTTGACTGAAACACAAAATTCATTTGATAATATATGAGAGAAAAGTGGTCTAATTTCAAATTAAATCAGCCATACCCCCAAAATCTTCTTTTTTCTTTTTTTTTGAGCCTCTAGGTCATCTTCGATTGTTTTAAGGAACAGTAACAAAAACAGAAAGAGGAGTGAAATTTATTAAGTATACTTTTTTTTTCATCTTAAATGTTAATCAACTAGGTTTGGAGAAATTAAGTAGCTTGCCTAGATGACCAAGCCTACCAGATTTTTCTGACTCAAAAGGCTCCAAGATGAATGCCCAAATTTCAGAAATTGTCTGAACAAATAAATCCTAAAATTTCACATTCATACTAAAATTATTTTAAAATATAAAGTTTATTTTAAAAGAAGCCCAGGCTAGAAAAAAATTATGTTCATTTAAAATTTATTTGTCATACAGCACTTTAAAGTGTATAGGAAGTGAGTATATGCTAAGATGCAAGAATACCGTGTTTTCTAAACTTCAAAATATTATTATGAGCAACCTAAACAATTTTTGGAATTTTGATAGAACTTATGAAAAACGTACTTTGAGGTGGCTGCCTTCCCAGTACGAAGGTACCTGCCCCGTATTAAGAATGGAACAGAGTGTGAAGACCCTATTTAGAAAGATGTTGCTAACATACCTTGTCCACTTTGCAACACGGAACTATTTACTTACCAGTGTATTTTCTTTGATCCCACAGTTGTTATTAATTGTGATTGGGGCTGTGGTGGTAGTCTCAGTTTTACAACCCTACATCTTCCTAGCTACAGTGCCAGTGATAGCGGCTTTTATTCTATTGAGAGCCTACTTCCTCTGCACCTCACAGCAACTCAAACAGCTGGAATCTGAAGGTATGATGCAGCCTGTGCAACGCTCACCTGGGAAAATATCACAAGAGCTATTCGTGGATATTTATCTGTGATTTATGTACCTTTCCAAAATTTTTTTCCTATTTTTAAACTCTTGCATTATATGACAATGACTTTTAAAAACATCTATTTCAACTGTGATCCAGGCCGTGTCTGTACATTCTCATCGTATATAACTCTCTTGGGTCTCATACTTTTGTTATTCATTAGATCTTAAGTATTATTATTGAGAATTTGACCTTTGTCTCCTTTCAGATTTAAAATATAATGTTAAACCACAAACTATCCCCCCCCCCAAAATAGTATAAGTAGGAAAAGGAAACAGTAAATTATAAAGCACACATAGATTGTTTTTACTAATTAATGACCATGTGACTTCATTTTGATTTTAAAACAAGTATATAGAGTCTTAGGAGGCTTGATGTATATGATATCCATTCATAATCATATAAACTAAAATTTGAAAAGATAGTGCTACTATCACTAAATGTTTGTGTGTGTTCCCAAATGGTACTGGACAAAATTCTTCCCTCTGGCTTGTTTTCAGACACCTTTCCTTTCTCTCCTGGGGGTCTGCCTTTTTGTGTGCCCCCAAACACTGCTTGAGCTCTTTGGGAAGCACATTGTTCAGTAACAGCCTTTATTTGGGTGCATTTTCAGGGGATATATTTCCAGTGTGTTTCTGCATTGAAGGTTATTTGCTAAATTAAGTCACATAAACTTTCTTAATTGAGGCCTTGAATAAATCGTCTCAAAAGAAAAACATTTTCTCTGATTAATTTAGGATTAGTCAGATAAACATGCCCAGTGGTAGCCAAGGAATATGAATAAATAGTGGCAGTGATCTTATAAGTTCCCATCCATGGTAACCAAGTAAAAAAGAGGGTAACTCATTAAAAAAAATAACAGATTGCATCTATTCAAAGTACAGCACCAGAATGAAAAGCCTTTTTAACCAGTGACATTTGTTGTTTGGTTATTCTTTAAGCCACTCTTTTTAAAGTAAGAATTTGCATTATGTGTTTACATGACTTGCATTATTTTCTATGGGAATATTTCACAGGCAGAAGTCCAATTTTCACTCATCTTGTTACGAGCTTAAAAGGACTATGGACACTTCGTGCCTTTGGACGGCAGCCTTACTTTGAAACCTTGTTCCACAAAGCTCTGAATTTACATACTGCCAACTGGTTCTTGTATCTATCAACACTGCGCTGGTTCCAAATGAGAATAGAAATGATTTTTGTCCTCTTCTTCATTGCTGTTACCTTCATTTCCATTTTAACAACAGGTACTGTGAGCTCCTTAACTATTTAGCTAAGCATTTAATTTAAAGCTTTGCCAACCAATAAAATGCTACATTCTTATAGGTTAAAAATTTTAGGTATCTTTAAATCAATTTTTTGAGAGTTAATTGATCAAAAAATTTGTTTATTGTTCAATGAATGATTTCTTTGAATTAGAGATGTATGCAGTTGAAAAACTGAGATACAAGGAGTGTCAGATAACAAATCTGTGATTCAAAGAAAAAAACCATCTAATACTCTCATTTTGATAAAGGATCTTGGCTTCAAAAGTAATAGATCTCTTTATTAAAGAACTCTCTGAATAGGGGAAAAGAAACATCCAAATTTATATACAGATACACACAAAATCTCCATCCCTGGTAAATTTTGTTCTTTTAACCACCTGTTGGTGCAATTTGTCATCCTAATGTGAACTTTGCATGGTGAAAAACTGCCATAGAAGTGAAATAACTTAGGTGAAAGTACCATATTTTTCAAATACAGATGTTCTGAGTTTTAGGATCTTTGGGTGACAAACATAAACTATTTCATCGTAAGTAAAATGAAAACCTATATAGACAAGTGAGCTCTTCTAATTAAAAAAGGTGAATTACTGAGCTATAAGAAAAGTTGAAATATCTTATGTATGTGACTGTGGACAGCGATTCAGAGTGACTGCCAAATCTGAGGGGTCGTTCGTTTCTAAGAATAGAATCCGGATCAAACAAAATGAAGTGCGTGTTGGAGAATTATAGGAGGACCTCGTGGAGCACAGGGTGGGAGGCCCACGGAGCCTCCAGGGAAAATGGGACAGGCGTGGAGAGTCAGACTCAGAGCTTCCTGTCTCTGGACACTGGATGCCGGCTGTGCCCATTCCTTCCTCTGGCTACTTCATTCACTTCTCTTTCTCTGAAGACTGGCTTCCCTGATGTCCCAGAGCTGTGCTACAGTGACCTTATATGGCCTCTCCATTCAGGCCCTTTGAATGAACAGCTGACTTCCTCTGTCCAGTTACCAAGTATGGGCAAGAACCGAAAACAGGCTCATTTTGGCTGAAGGGTCCACCTGCCATCCACACAGGTGCCGTGAGAGTAGTGGATTCCCCGCCTTCACTGTTCCCTCAGCCTAGGGCGATGGGGAATTACTCTATGAAAGGAATATAAAGGGTCAAGCAAATGAACTAAATCCTTAGCAGTACAGTAATTTGGGGCAACTTTAAAACAAAATAAAATTTCTTTTGCAGTTCAGAATTTTTTAAAAATTTTGCCTTTAATTAAGTTATTTGAAATGGGATCCAAGAGGGCTGAGTGAACAAGGATTTGTTAACAGTGAATTCAAACCAATATATCATGTGCTATAACATAATGGTTAAGGATCTGATTGAGTCCCGATTTACCAGGCATGATAGTCAAAGCATTTAGCAATCAGTATAGTTCAGGACCTATCCATTAAATCAGATGCCCAGCCAGAGTGAATGTTAGCCACACAGCTAATAACAACCCTGCCTCTGCTGGTCTTCAGCTGTGGTAACTTGTACACTTCAATTAACTTCTCTAAAACCCTCATTTTCCTCATGTATAAATAAACATAATGATAGTACCTATCCCATAAGTTTGTGGTGAGTGTTAAATGTGATAATTTGTATAAAACAGTATAGTGCCTGGTCCATAGTAAGCGCCTGAAAATCTCATATTACTTATTATTGTTACTATTTTTAAAATTTTATCTTACTCTCATCTTAATCTTCAGAATGAGTAATATATTGGGGCCCTGGATAAATCTTACCTATTTAGAATAAATGATTTAGTATTAAAAGCACATACCTGCTATCTATGGTTTGTCTTCTGTTAGAGGAATTATAGAAGCAAAGTTTCAATTCATAATAATGGGATGAGTTATTTCTCCCAATTTTAGAACCTTATGACAGTTTTATCATGCATTACAGATGCAAAGACTGACTCTCAATTGAGACGTGATAACCTAAATTTATAATAATTTAAGAACATTCCTATTAGAAAAATTGTAGGGCTATGAATAGAGAGTATTTATGAATTTTAATTAGTGGTCCCCTGTAGCCCTTAAAAACTATTTACTCTAATTAGACATTTAAGTATTGTTCTTCCTCGGTGAACGAGTCAATTTTCTTTTAACATAAAGAGCAGTCTTCTCTTTTTCCAAATGGCAGACCCATGAGTTCTGACTTCCCCATGAAACTCGAAGTTCTTTCTTCCCAGCAGCATCTGATTGGCAGAGAAAGTCCTCCTCGCAAAGGCATGAAGTACATCTAAACATCTTCTGGATGCTGTTCACACACATATCTCTCCTACTTTTGACTTCTTTGTAGAGGAGCTTATTCAGACACAGTACTTTTTTTCCTTGTCCATTATTTGAAGCCTTTGAAGGTATTATTACTTACAGAGTAATAGTAGAAGGGATAAAAGTGATATTTACCCAGCACCAACATCCCCTTCAATATCTGAAGCATTTAAAAAAGGGCAACTCTTTCCTAATAGTCAATCACTCTTTGGTTTAAAATGGTGGTTGTATACTTATTATATACAGGGCATATTATTACTAGGGATACATGCTGTGGGGATCTGAGATGAAAAATGGTTAAAACTGGCACAGAATCAAAATGTAACTTTAATATGTGCCCTCTTCTAGGAATACATAAAGTGGTTCACAGAAGAGAGAAATAGCATAAAGTTTGTTTATATCTTTTTTCTACCTATAGGTGAAGGAGAAGGAAGCGCTGGGATTATTCTAACTTTAGCCATGAATATCATGGGTACACTACAGTGGGCCGTAAACTCTAGCATAGATGTGGATAGCTTGGTAAGTATTATTCTTTTTATCTTCTATGAAAAAAAATTCAGATGAACCAAAAAGTATAGGTAATAACATAAGGGATGACTATATACCCAGACCCAGTTTAAGATATAAAACACTGCGGATAAATCGAGGGTCACTATCTATCTCTCATTAAACCCATAACTCTTCTTTCCTCCACATAAATAGCCACAATCAAGATCTGGTGCTACGGTGAACATTCTTACAGTCTCCTTGCCCAGGGTTTTTCTAGGATAGCCATCCAGGAGTGGTATTGCTAGGCCATAGAATTCACCCACGTTCAACTTTACAAGATGGTGCCAAATTGTTCTAAGATCTGTTGTACCAGTTTAACCTCCCATCAAGAGAGTATAAGAATTCTCAGAGGTCCATAGCTATGACATGCAACACTTGATATTGTCAGACTTTGGTTTAATTGAAGTATAGTTGATTTACAATATTGTGTTAGTTTCAGGTGTACAGTGAAGTGATTCAGTTATATATATATTTTTCAGATTATTTTCCATTATAGGTTATTACAAGATATTGAATATAGTTCCCTGTGGATACAGTAAATCCTTGTTGCTTATCTATTTTATATATAGTAGTTTGTATCTGCTAACCCTATACTCCTAATTTATCCCTCTGCCCCTCCCTTTCCCCTTTGGTAACCATAAGTTTGTTTTCTATGTCTGTGAGTCTGTTTCTGTTTTGTATATAGATTCATTTGTATTACTTTTTAGATTCCACATATAAGTGATAATATATAGCATCTGTATTTCTCTGACTTACTCATTAGTATGATAATCTCTAGGTCCATCCATGTTGCTGCAAATGGCATTATTTCATTCTTTTTTATGGCTGAGTAGTATTCCATTGTATATATGTACCGCATCTTCTTTATCCATTCATCTGTCGATGGACACTTAGGTTGCTTCCATGTCTTGGCTATTGTAAACAGTGCTGCTGTGAACATTGGGGTACGTGTATCTTTTCGAATTAGCTTTTAACTTTTCCAGACATATGCCCAGGAATGGGATTGCTGGATCAAATGGTAGCTCTATTTTTAATTTTTTTAAGGAACCTCCCCATACTGTTTTCCATAGTGGATGCACAAATTTACATTCCCACCAGTAGTGTAAGAGGGTTCTCTTTTCTCCACAACCTCTCCAGCATTTATTATTTGTAGACTTTCTGATGATAGCCATTCTTGTCAGACTTTTTAATTTTGGAAATCTGATGGGTATGAAGTGAATGCTAAGGAGATAGGGCAGCTTAATACATACTTATTGGCCATTTGAGATTCCTTCTCTGTTAATTGCTTGTGCATTTCGATTGCTCATTTTTCAAGTAGATTGGTTTCTTTCTTAATTCATTTGTTGGAGTTTATGAATTCTGAATCAGTTATCACTTCTTTACATTTCAAACATGGTCCTTCAGTCAGTGGCTTGGCTTATAGTATCTTTTGATGAAAAGAAACTTTTGAGTTTAATGAAGTTAAATTTTTCAATATTTTCCTTTATGTTTTGTGCTTTTGGTATCTTTTTAAGAAATCCTCCCCTATCTTGGGTTTTCAAATTTATCAGCATTACATTTTTCATAATATTTTTTCATATTTTTTAAATTTCCACAGTCTTTTTTTTTTTTTTCTTTGGTGGTAGCTCCTCATTCTTAAGTGTTTATCATTGCCTTCTCTTTTTGCTTGGTCAATATTGCCACATATTTATGTAGTTTATTAGTGTGTACAAAGACCATATTTTGGTTTTGTGATTTCTCTTGTTTTGGTTCCTTGGAGTACAGAGCCTGCAGTAATGTATGTGCGGTAACACTGTGTCCAGGGCACAAATCCCATGGCAGCAAGAGTGAGAGACAAATGGAATCAAGGCATATTTCCCCTTTTTATTTAAAAAACAAATGCATGGGCTTCCCTGGTGGTGCAGCGGTTGAGAGTCTGCCTGCCGATGGAGGGGACACGGGTTCATGCCCCGGCCTGGGAAGATCCCACATGCCACGGAGCAGCTGGGCCCGTGAGCCACGTCCGCTGAGCCTGCGTGTCCGGAGCCTGTGCTCCGCAACGGGAGAGGCCACAACAGTGAGACGCCCGCGTATCGCAAAAAAAAAAAAAAAAAAAAGCATAATTTTCATCCGATGGTATAGTTGGTCTGGATGGATAGCTTCATCATCAACTTCTATTAGTCTAGCTGGAGTACTGTATTCAAAATCAGACATCCAATACTGTATCTGTGGATGGTCTAGAAACCCATGTTGGGAATGACTATATAACACTTGTTATTACCCTTTTGGCTTAGGTTCTTTTTATTATTCTCTGAGACAGTTGACGTGTTCTCAAAATGCACACATTCGTTCAGCTGTGAAATTTGTATAATCAGTTCCTGTCAGAACAAGTATCATTATAAAAAATACTTCTATAGGGAAAATCCAAACCTTTTCATGCCCTCTTCTTGTCTATGTGACTTAATATTTTATTTAACCAAAGCATTGTAGTAATTCATTGAAATGTAATTTAACCTTAACCTGATTTATGGCAGGATTTTTTCTCTTTTCCTTTAACATCATGTTTTGTTTCTTTTTTGAGTTTGACCAACTCTTTTTAGTGACGCCATTCGTCTCCTCACTTAGCTCTCATGCTTTTGGGGTTGAGTCTTGTAAATGTACTTTAAAATGTTTCTGTTGGAAAATAGCAGGAAGGTAGTGAGTACATATTGTGCTGCATTTATTTAATTCTGTGTTCAAACCTTCTACAACTTTGACTTTACGATGAAAATCCTCATGCGCTTCACTTCATTTTCTTTATCTGAAAGCATCTCTTTACCTCGTATATGCACAATTCCTTTCTGTTTGTCACATTAATTTGCTTGGTTTATGTAACAGCCTCTACAGCCTCTCTTTGTTTGGTGTCTGTCTGTTTTGCATGTCTAATCTCCATTAAAATTTCCTTCAGGCATTTTTATTTCTCTAGTTTTTCACATGGTCATCCTGGGCTTTGTGACCTGTGCTTTGACATTGTTTCACCTCCGACATTGTTTCACCTCCTGGCATAAAAGGATCTTTGCAAAAAACTATTATGTTCTAATACAATCTATGAAACGTATCAATATTTGCATTTCATCATATTTTTTAAAGTCGTTTTCTTTTCTTTGAATATCAAAGCGATCATGTTAGTTTTCATTTCCCTGCCAAACAGCACAACTGGTCCTTCCTGGGCCTTTATCTAGTTATTAATTCCCATCTTGCTGCTTCCACCCCTGCAACTGCTAAAGCTGTCCAGTAATCTGCTGGTTTTCACCTAGCATACGTTGAAAGTAGAAGGGGAGAGAGGTCTGCCCTCAAATTTCATGTTTACATATATGTTAACACTAAAGGTCCTTGTGACCTCTGAAGTAAAAACTCACTTTACTTTACTGAGTTCTGAAATGGATTTAGACCTGAGTTTAAAATGCAGTAAACAGGGTGTTTTGTTTGACACACGCTTTTAGTTTTTCAGTACAAAGGTACCCAGAAAAAAACGTCTTTAGACTTGGAAAGAATATTTCATTTATGCATCTGGCTGGGTTTAGGCATGAACAAAGAGTCAACCATCAACAGAAATACGATGTTATAAAAATGGCAATATGACTTTTCTTCTACTGCTCATCCATTGCTTAACCCAGGTGCCTAGCTTTCATTAGCTTTCAAACAGTAGAGGTAATATTTGGAGGATAACACTTCCTCATCACAACCTCAGGTATCTTTGCATTTATGACTGACTGCACATCTCAGATGTTGGCACTCAGAACTGGTCAACAACCCTTTTATTACATTTTCCTAATAAATTCTCTATTTTATTCCCTAAGATGGTTCTTTCCCACCTTCTTGTCTCTTCTCAGATGCTCCAATAATTCCACCCCCTGCGTTCTCAGCCAATGACCTTGCTACATACTATATAGAAAAAAACATGCAACCAGAAAGAATTCCCTCCTTTCTCTCCACCACCCTTCTGCACCACTACTCATATGCTCCAGTGCTCTCTGTGTCTTCGCTCCTGTATAAAGGCCAGTGATATGCGATCAACCCCTCTTTGTGGGACCTTTCTCCCTAGCATAAAACTACCATCCTGGGAAGATGCTGCATAGCACAGGGAGATCAGCTTGATGCTTTGTGATGATCTAGAGGGGTGGGATAAGGAGGGTGGGAGGGAGGCTCAAGAGGGAGGGGATGTGGGGATATAGGTGTACATATAGCTGATTCAGTTTGTTGTACAGCAGAAACTAACACAACACTGTAAAACAATTATACTCCAATAAAGATATATATATTAAAAAAAAAAAACTGCCATCCCTTGATCTCCAGCTAGCACTCCATTTCTTTGACCAATTTTCAGCAAAAATTCTTAAAAGAGTGCGTGACTCCATTTCCTCCCCCCCCCATTCTTTACATAACCTGCTTCATTTCATTTCCATCATCCCCAGCACTCATGACCAACATCTTTCCAGAGCCAGCATCTTTGTTTCTCTCAACCTCTCAGCAGTTACTTATGCCATGGACACGTCCTTCTTGTGATCCTTTCTTCTCTCCATAGGGTGATGCTCCTCCCGCCTCGTTTTCCTGCTACCTCTCTGATTCCTCCATAGTTCTCTGTGCTGGCCTCTCATCTTCTTGCAGAGCTCTAAACATCAGCTGTATTCCAGCCCTCGTCTATCTACACTTTCTCTAGCTGTTATCTAACTCCATGCTTCAGAAATCATCTCTCAATGCATTGCACATTCATATCTCTAATTTAGACCACTCCCCTGCCCTCTAAATATATATCCAACTACTAACTTGACACCTCCCAGTGTTTCTAAAACACAGTGATAGAATGTCTTCCAGTAGATTTGACATTTTAGGGCAAAAGCTCTTGTTTGGAATCTCCTCAAAATATGCTTGCAGTATCAAGAGACCATTAAAAGTGAACAAAACTTCTACCTACTAGTTTGTCTAGTTTTATATAGCAGTTTGGAAAAAAA